CCACTGTCAAGGTACTTGTTTCAAGCCATACAAACTCTTTTTCAAATAGCAGCCGAAGTCTTCTTTTCCTGGAGCTCGAAACCCTTTAGGTTGCTTCATATATATCTCATCTTCAAGGTCTCCGTGAAGGAATGTTGTCTTCATATTTATATGTTCAACTTCGAGGTCCATTGAGGCCGGAATGGCTAATACAGTTTGGACCGAAGTCATTTTAACATCAGGAAAGAATATTTCTTCAAAATCAACTACTTTCTTTTGATTACAACCTTTTACCAAGATTCTGGCCTTGTATATCGACTTTTGGCCGTTATTTTCATGTTTAATTTTATACACTCACTTGTTCTTTAGAGCTCGTCTCCCTTGAGGTAGTTTGGTCAATTCACAAGTCTGATTTTCATGTAAGGATTTCATCTCGTCCTGCATTGCCTTCTTTCGTTAATTTTTGTCTGAGCTCGTTATGACCTCATCATAGCTTTGAGGTTGTCCATCTTCTGCAACAACAATGTACTCGTCAGGTGGGTACCTTGTAGAAGGTTGTCTCACTCGTGTAGAGTGTCTGGGTTGATTTTCAGTTTGAGAGTCCGACTCAACATTCTCATCTCGGACCTCAGTATCATCTTGTCTGTCTTCATTTTCTTCAACAATTAGTTCTTGTTGTTGGTCATTTACATCATTTTCTTGGTTATTTTCTCCCTCTGCTTCAGCTCAGACAGAATGCATAGGTTCTTCGCGTCGGTCAACATCCCAGACATTGGGCTTCGAGATGTCTTTGTTGGTCCCATCTTCATGGAAGACTACATATCAGCTTTTCACCATCTTCTTGTTGACGGGATATCAAAGTCAAAAATCAAACTCACATCTCGACGAACCGAGGTAAATGCATTCTTTTATCTTTGCGTCAAGCTTCGCTTTTTCGACTATTGGGATATGCACGAAAGCTTGGCATCCAAATACCTTCAGGTGATCATAAGCCGCTTTCTGACCTGTCCAAACTTCTTCAGGAATTTCTCCTTCTAGTGGTCATGATGGTGATAGATTAATCAAGCCAGCTGCAGTGCAGACTGCTTCTCCAGGTTACCAGGTCAACACGTAGTAGCAAAGAAAAATGCACAGAGAAGAGAGACATACAAGAACACACTAGACTTTTAACGTGGAAAACCTCCCTTAAGAGGTCGTTTGTATTGACTTATGAAGAAAGTCCTTTTTATCACTTCCTTATTTTAAAAGTATTTTTTATAAAAGTTACAGCTATTTAGATTTTTAAAGAAATATTTATTTTTTGAAAAAAATATTTGACTTTTGACTTTTACTTTTTTATGACTTCTGCTTTTTTTAAAAGCAAACATCCAAACATTCTTTTTTCGAGAAGTGCTTTTTTTTATAAAAAAAAGCAGCTTCTGAAGAAAAAAAAGTCCATCCAAACGGGCTCTAAGGCCAAGGAGTAAAAACCAAGGGACACTAGTCCATAAAATCTTTCGTTATGTCAAAAAAAAAGATTAGAAAGGTGTCAAACTTTTCTAGTTACACTAGAGGTATAATCAAGCATCATCAACAATGATAGTATTTTCAAACTTCCTTAAAGAGGTCTCACTTAAACTTCTCTCTAAAGGTATTTAAATTCTCCAACTCTTTAACTCTAAGCTTTCTCAAAATCTCTAATATCATTACAAGGTCTTCAAGTGTGTTTATACAGAGGTGATGGGAGAAACTTCTAGAATGTTGATGGTGAATAGCATTCTTGAGCCACTCCAAATAACTGTCACCTTTAGGGGTGTTAACGGGCCGAGCCGAGCTTTGGTCTTAAAAGGCTAAGCCTGTGTTCAAACATGGCAGCCTGACCAAGCCCGTTACCTATTGTGAATATAATTTCAGCCTGTGACCTGTCTTATTTACAAAAAATAAAAGTCTGGTTTAGTCTGTTAGCCTGTTTAAAAAAAGTAAGACAACAAAAATTTATCCAAACAAAATATACAATCAACAGTACTAGTAATTCCATAAATATTCATAAATTTAATGTGTATCCAAACAACATAATATAAAACAAAATCATTCAAAAAGTCTGTTTAATTAATAAAATGGGATGAAACGGATTGAGGAGAGAGAGAGGGCTATCACAAGTAGTATAAAAAATATAAAATAAAAATAAAAATTAATATAATAGGCCAGCCTGAGAGGCTCTAAGACCGAGCTTTTGAATTAGAGCCTGAGGCCTTTTTATTAAACAAGTTTTTATACAAATCTAAGCCTGGTTCCAACGATCAATTTTAGACATGTAAGCTTAGGCCTTCACGAGCCGAGCTAAAAACCTCTGGCTCGTTTAGCACCCCTAGTCACCTTGAGCCTTGCACCAAAGAAGAGTTTCAACAACCTTGAGCCTTCTGCCAAGCATTGAAGGAAGGAATGCTCCCCAATACATACAAATATATATTTTAGTATTTGAAAATGAGATTTAGTGAAGAGGATTGGCACTTTATTTATTGTTTATTGTTTATTGTTTACAAAGGCAAAGTGAACAATTTATGTAATTCTAAACAGCATTTAGAATGATTTAAACGGGAAAAAAAAGCATAAACAAGATAAATGATAAAAAAAATTAAGGAAAAAAATATTTTAGAAAAAAAATAAAAGAATATATATTTAATGTTTAATCTTATTAGTATCTATGATTAATGATTGATTTTGAATCAGCAATTTCATGTGAATTTGATGGACAATGTTATGTTAATGTATATATTGATTGCAAGCATAGTAAGAAGCTGGGCCTAGGGACCAAAATTAAAATGCAATCCAAGCCCCAAATGTTCTTTAGTGGCTCCGCTAGTGCCGTCCCTTTGGCAAACCGTGCATTCCTCCGTCTTGTTTTAGGTGTTTTTCTCCGTATTCAGGATAATAGTAAATTTCACGAGAAGTTTATAACTTGCAAAAAATTATTTCATAGTGTAACTTCAGTATGACTTTTACATTGGCGTCAATGAATTCTCTCCAATAAGATAAGAAGATATTAATCTAGAGATGTAAAAACAACTATCATTTTTTAAATATTCATTTTCAATATGTAACAAGTTAAAAAATAAAACATTTTTCCTACTTATTTCAATTTGACTTCCCTTGGCAGTTTTACAATTTTCATTTTCCACCTTCATTCTATCACAAAACAAAAGCTTAAAATGAAAGAATTTATTATATTTGTGAATAAAGTATTGTATAACATTAAAATAATATTAGTTCAGGTATACAAATTATTGTATACCTAATATTTAATATGAAAATTCTGTTAGTGTTTTAAAAATATAAAGTATCCTAAACATTAAGTAATAATGACCAATTCCATGGAGACTAAGGAGACCTCTTCTTTATAATCATCGTTCGGTGCGGCATCGTTATTCTTTTGGTTTTTATATTCTGAAAAATCTACTTTAATGAGATTGAGAATTGATCAGCATCTATATCAATGAAACGTGCCAGGACTAATTAATTCGCTACTAGATAGAATTGAACAAGTTGCAGCACTTTTCTATTCACATGTCTCCCCTTTTATAACAAGTTGCCACTTTTCTAATAGATTGGTTAGGAGAGCACCTTTTTTGTTGCGTGGTAGACCAAGCAATCATTTGTATGTGTGATTTGTTATTTGAATTTTTTAGTTAGTTTACTGAGGTAGAAATTTGAGCTTAACATCACATATGGTAACGTGGTAACGACGCGCGATGCGACTCAGAAAATTAATAATAGAAATAGAATTACATCCTTATTAATAAACTCAACTTTTCATATAATAAAACGATGGTATGCTGATTTTTTAAGTGTTAGCATGGCGAGATAGATAGCTCAAGCTTTTAATATAATAGCATTTTTTGTTCATATAAAAAAAAATATCGATTTCTCATGTTACAGGTGAAGAAAATCTTCTCCTGCAAACAAAAAAATCAAAAGTGAAATCTACTGCACAGAGGAGAGAAAAACATACAAAGTAAGATTCATTTTGATTTTGAGTATGCAGAAAACCTATAACATGGAAAAATCAATATCCATAAAAAAATGTCATTGTTCAATACAACCTGAATTTATCACAAGCATACATGAGATTTGATCTTGCAAAATTTGGGTAGCTAAACATGAACATCATTGTATGTGTTTTCTTTTCAACTATTCAAACAGAAAGAAAATTAAATTTTATATGTGGAATTAAATATAACAACAACAACAATAATAATAATAAAGGGTCAATAAATTAGTTATGTCGATTTTATTAATTAGATTATTATAGAATTCTCCCTATTGAGCTTTAGTGAAAGAGCAAAATCCAACACCATGTTTATTAATTAGATAATGGTGCCTGCTTGGATATCACTAGAAGTTTTGTAAATGTTTAGCTGCAAAATATAAAAGAAAGAAACATCATTTGCTGTGAGTCCAAATAATTTATCGTAATTATTTTTTTCGTGTTTGTTTATCTTATCAATTTAACAACTTATTGGGAGTTTATAACCAAAAATTGCCATGCTGACAATTTCAAACATAATCAATGGAGGAAAATAAATTATCGGATGTAGCAAAATGAAATAGTAAGCCTTATTGGATTATTTATATAATTTAGCTGGCTTCTACCATACTCCAAAACTAATAAAAACATATGTATATATGCCAAGAAATTAATTTAAATTTGGTGGGAATTGATTAAGGATTAGGACAATATAGAATATAACAAAAAGTAGGCATCAAGCGGTAGGCCATAAAGTATCGATGATAACTTTGTCATTCCCTTTTAAGAGAAAACAGAAGCGGAAGCAACAAAATAAAATTTTGATTGTATTGTAATTTGTAAGCCTTTTATGTTACATTGGAATTGCGATATCATATATAAATGATTGTTATTTGAGGTAATTACCCAAAAAAAAAAAATGATTGTTAGTTGAGAAGAAACATGAACCAATTGGTGGACAGAAATTTGAATGTGCTTCTTTATTACTAATACTGGTATTGCAAACACAACAACAGGGTACAATACAAAAATGCCACAATTAATAAATAGAAAAGCAATCATACACGGCCATATATTAATCTATGCACAAATAAATTAAAGCGATCATTAAAAGCGGAATGTACTTTTCACTTTCACTTTCACTTGGCATTTACATTTCAAATCTCGCTTCCTTGTTTTGTTTTGTCCCTCACTTGAACACAATAAGATCAGGACGTGCAAGATTGCCATCAATAAAATAGAATCAATCTCGTCTGAATCACAAATATCGTAGCTCGGAGATGATGCATTCAGACATTTATTCAAAGAACTTGTACAGGAAGCTAGATGTTTCACTTTGCTCCAAATGAAGCTTGACTTTATTCCTCGATGTAAACTACAACCTGAAAGAAATAACAATTTTCATTACTAAGATTCATACTTGCAATGATAATATATTTATGAACGTAAAGATTATTCACTCACATGATTTATCACAAATGATGCTTCCGCATTCCGCGCTTACTTGTAGATTGGTGGGGGTGGGGAAGCATATATGTAAGCCGGTGGTGGAGGTGATTTTTCTGGTGGGGGAGGTGATTTGTAAATGTATGTCGGAGCGGGAGTTGAGGTGGGAGGAGGGGGTGATGTGTAGTGGTATGGTGGTGGAGGAGATGGTGAAGGTGGAGGAGGGCTCACGTAGTGGTAGGGAGGTGGAGGAGACGATGTTGGTGGTGGAGGGGATTTGTAAATGTATGTGGGAGCGGGAGCTGAGATGGGAGGAGGGGGTGATGTGTAGTGGTATGGTGGTGGAGGAGACGGTGAAGGTGGAGGAGGGCTCACGTAGTGGTAGGGAGGTGGAGGAGATGATGTTGGTGGTGGAGGGGATTTGTAGTAATAGGGAGAAGGAGGAGGGGAAGATGGTGGAGGAGGACTTTGATAGTAATAAGGAGGTGGTGGAGATGGAGATGGAGGTGGGGGAGATTTGTAGTAATAAGGAGGTGGAGGTGATGGTGAAGGTGGTGGAGGTGACTTGTAGGCATAAGGAGGATGTAGGTATGGTAGCTTTTGAGGTGGTGGAGGAGGACTCTTGTAGTAGTATGGAGGAGGAGGAGAAGGTGATGGTGGGGGAGGACTCTTGTAATAGTATGAAGGAGGAGGAGGTGGTGATGGTGGAGGTGGTGATTTATAGTAGTATGGAGGGTTGGGTAATTCTTGGGGGGGTGGGGGAGACTTGTAGTAGTAAGGAGGAGGGGGAGAGGGTGAAGGTGGGGGAGGGCTCTTGTAATAGAAGGTGGGGGAGGGCTCTTGTAATAGTAAGGTTTAGGTACCGGTGATGGTGGGGGTGGAGATTTATAGTAATATGGAGGAGGGGGAGATGGCGATGGTGGGGGAGGACTCTTGTAATAGTAGGGAGGTTCATATACTGGTGATGGTGGGGGTGGAGATTTATAGTAGTATGGAGGAGGGGGAGATGGCGATGGTGGGGGAGGACTCTTGTAATAGTAAGGAGGTGGAGGAGAAGGTGATGGTGGTGGGGGACTCTTGTAGTAGTAGGGAGGTTCATATATTGGTGATGGTGGGGGTGGAGATTTATAGTAATATGGAGGAGGGGGAGAGGGTGATGGTGGTGGAGGACTCTTGTAGTAGTAGGGAGGTTTGTATACCGGTGATGGTGGTGGTGGAGACTTGTACATATAAGTTGGTGATGGTGGAGGTGGAGATTTATATACATATTTTGGTGATGGTGGAGGTGGAGATTTGTATACATATTTTGGTGATGGTGGAGGTGGAGACTTATACACATAAGCAGGTGATGGTGGAGGTGGAGATTTGTATACATATGTTGGTGATGGTGGGGGAGGACTCTTATAGTAGTAAGGAGGTAAAGTAGAATGTGATGGTGGTGGAGGACTCTTGTAGTAATAGGGAGGTTCATATACTGGTGATGGTGGTGGTGGAGACTTGTACACATATGTTGGTGATGGTGGTGGTGGAGACTTATACACATAAGTTGGTGATGGTGGAGGTGGAGACTTGTACACGTATGCAGGTGATGGTGGAGGTGGAGATTTGTATACATATGTTGGTGATGGTGGGGGAGGACTCTTATAGTAGTAAGGAGGTAAAGTAGAATGTGATGGTGGTGGAGGACTCTTGTAGTAATAGGGAGGTTCATAAGTTGGTGATGGTGGAGGTGGAGACTTATACACATAAGTTGGTGATGGTGGGGGTGGAGACTTGTACACGTATGCAGGTGATGGTGGGGGTGGAGATTTGTATACATATGTTGGTGAAGGTGGGGGTGGAGACTTGTACACGTAAGCAGGTGATGGTGGAGGTGGAGATTTGTATACATATGTTGGTGATGGTGGGGGAGGAGACTTGTACACGTAAGTAGGTGATGGTGGGGGTGGAGATTTATATACGTAAGCAGGTGATGGTGGAGGTGGAGACTTGTATACATATGTTGGTGATGGTGGGGGTGGAGACTTGTACATGTAAGCAGGTGATGGTGGAGGTGGTGATTTGTAAACATAAACAGGTGATGGTGGAGGAGGTGACTTGTAGTAATAAGGAGTTGGTGAAGGCTTATGCTTTTCACATTCTTCAAAATGCTTCTTTGAAGCATAAGCAAATGGCTTGGCCTTGAGCACCACTTCGTACTTATCCTTGGATTTCACCTTCAAGTTGGTTCCCTCGTTGAGCTTAGTAGGCATGTTGAAGGGTGAGTCCTTGGGTGGAGCATGAAGCCTGGCCTTGCACACCATGGGTCCATATTTGACATAGTCAAAGTCCTTAACTGTGATGCTGTACTTACCATTGCTCTTTGTTTCACCGTAAGCCATGATTATTTTCCTCCCTGCTTTGCATTTCACCTCCACAACAGCACCTGCTCCATTAAAATAATAAAAATTTCAATTACAATGAATAAATCCTACACGTTACGACAAAGAGAGAAAGTCAAAGACACAGACTATATAATATATATACTGGGCAGCATTATTGTTAAACTGTTCCTGTCATGCAACAAATTATATTAGGCAGCATTATTAAAAGGTTAATGATTTAAATTATTCGTCATATTTGATTGTTATCTTTATTTATTACAGGCTGCCGCCGGTTCTAAACAAATTTTTATATTTTATAATGTAGATAATAATTATTAGCAATAATGTAATGGTGGGTCTACCCTGTAACTTGAAATGGATAGTAACTCCATTACAAAATATTCACCCCTACATTATCTTTAAAAAGGGTAATTTTGACACTTCAATTATTAATGTATGCATAAATGATAAATATATTCATTTGCTTTATTTTAATTCAAGTTAGCGTAAGAGAATTCGTTATAATATTCTTTCAAACCTTAAATCATGGAAGGAATTTACTGTGGAAACGAGAGAATGAAGAATATGTGCTTGCGTGCTAACTTCTAAGAAACAAATACGATATATAATGGAAACATAGGAGCCTCATTAAAAAAAAGACAGGTCGTATCTCCGAAGCACCAAAAATGACAGTTTAACGGTGACTGTACTGAGAAATTTGAGCCAATAATGAATTAAATAAAAGATGAAGAAATGAATGTAATACCTTTAAGGTGCTTCTTGTCATGTGACTTTTCAGGATAATCCCAGTCATAGCACTTGTAGCTGTAGACGCTACCCACTACCTTCACAATCAATGGGTGGTGATGGGGATGAGGGGGAGGAGGAGAATTGTAATAGTATGGCTTGGGTGGTGGTGGGGACTGATAGTAGTAAGGTGTTGGTGGAGGTGGAGATTTTACTGGTGGTGGTGGAGAATTGTAGTAGTATGGTGGATGTGGTAAAGGAGATGGAGGAGGAGGAGATTTGTAGTAGTATGGTGGTGGTGGAGAAGGTGAAGGTGGTGGAGGAGATTTATAGTAGTAAGGAGTTGGAGTTGGAGACTTTTCTGGTGGTGGTGGTGATTTGTAGTAGTATGGTGGTGGTGGAGAAGGTGAAGGTGGTGGTGGAGATTTGTAATAGTAAGGAGTTGGAGTTGGAGACTTTTCTGGTGGAGGTGGTGATTTGTAGTAGTATGGTGGTGGTGGAGAAGGTGAAGGTGGTGGTGGAGATTTATAATAGTAAGGTGTTGGAGATGGAGACTTTTCTGGTGGCGGTGGTGATTTGTAGTAGTATGGTGGTGGTGGAGAAGGTGAAGGTGGTGGCGGGGATTTGTAATAGTAAGGAGGTGGAGGTGAGGGAGAGGGTGGTGGAGGAGATTTGTAATAGTATGGTGGAGCCTCATGCACATATGGTGGTGGAGGTGGTGACTTGTACATGTAAGGAGGAGGTGGTGATGGAGAAGGAGGTGGTGGTGACTTGTACATGTAAGGTGGAGCCTCATGTACATATGGTGGTGGAGGTGGTGACTTGTACATGTAAGGTGGAGGTGGAGGTGACTTGTACATGTAAGGAGGAGGTGGTGATGGAGAAGGAGGTGGTGGTGACTTGTACATGTAAGGAGGAGCCTCATGTACATATGGTGGTGGAGGTGGTGACTTGTACATGTAAGGTGGAGGTGGAGGTGACTTGTACATGTAAGGAGGTGGTGGTGATGGAGAAGGAGGTGGTGGTGACTTGTACATGTAAGGAGGAGACTTGTGCTCATATGGTGGAGGAGGTGGAGACTTGTACTCATAAGGAGGTGGGGGTGATGGTGAAGGTGGGGGTGGTGACTTGTACTCATAAGGAGGTGGGGGTGAAGGTGAAGGTGGTGGTGGTGACTTGTACTCATAAGTTGGAGCCTTGTGCTCATATGGGGGTGGAGGAGGTGGTGATTTGTACTCATAAGGAGGTGGAGGTGATGGTGAAGGTGGAGGTGGTGACTTGTACTCATAAGGTGGTGGTGGAGAAAAGTAAGGGTAACCATCAGCAGCGACGGAAACCACTGTAGTAGAAATCAAAACAACGGCCAATGCCATGGCCATTTGTGGCCAATGACGACCCATCGTGGGGTTGCTGCCCCTAGCAGTCATGGGTACAAGGTAAAAGCTGGCCACCTCCGGCCAATGCTTCTGATCAAATCCTCACTGATATTATTAAAAGTGAAAGATTGAGAGAAGAGAGAGAGAGGGAGAGGTGTGTGGAGTTAGTGATGACTGAGAAAAGCAGCATGAAGTACTTATAGTGAGAGTGAGTCGTTAAAGAGGAGCTGTCAAGAGGGACCGATTCAAAATATTCAATTGCCTTCTAATGCTTTCCTGAATAAAGTTTCCCCCAGCTGGCCTCGTGACTTTTTTAAGCACTATTTAATTTTTTGTATACTTCCTTTCCTATTTGTTTCCCTCCTCGCCAGAACCTTTCTCCCTTCCAATTTTAATTCCAACTACTGATTAAAATATAAACACCATGCCATTTCAAAATAGCACCATTTAACTCTAAAATTTTCACCAAATTGAGCCGTCTCCTGTATCGTATTGAACACAAGTTACGGTAACGTCCTATTCTTTTTGTCTTGATGAAAAAGTTAAGTCCAAAATGCTTTAATCATCTTCAATTCTCTCTCTTTCTCTTTTCTTATAATTTATTTTCTATTGTTTTTTGAATTTTGAGGGAAGGGAAAGTAAATAGTGTATATTTTGCATCATGGATCCATGAGCGGTCATGATTTTCGTTCGAGTCCTTGATGGCAGCTGTTGCAAGCTTTGGATCAAATCATTTTCGTTTAAGGGTTAACGTATTTGACTTTTCATTACTTCTTTATGTACGTTTCGAACATAAGCTTTTGGCCGTTTATGACAAAGAATAATTCAATGTGCACATTTAATTCCCTTATGTTGCTACAGGTCCACATGTTTGTGCTGTTACGGTACAACTCGCCCTAAAATCAATGTTATAATTAATTGTCATTGATTTATTAATTTTATTTCTCGAATACCCTTTGAAAATGGTATATCCATAATTATACAAGTGAATTAATAGACCTAAATAAGTATGTATATGGAGTGAGGTGCGCAATACGTGGGGGGGAGGAGGAGACAGAATGAGAACGAGTTCATCTCCACTTTGGTTCTCATGTCAGTACTTTTTTCTTTTCCTTTTTCTGTCCTATTCTTTAAGAATTTTCCCAGCCATGTGATTTCTCAATAATGAGGTTAACATGTGAGGTTGTCAACTCCCGCATGAAGCGCACATTGCAGCTTTTGTAAGTAAATCTAGAGGGAGAGAAAGCTAGAAACAGTAACCCTGATCAAAATTTATATATAAGTTATTTCCTCCAGATTAATTTCATTTCGTGCAAGAAATGATGATTGGAGTTTTCTTCGACCCTGATCTTCTATCTGTTAAGTCTTTAATCTCTAGTCTTTCTTCATGTTTCTCTGTTTGGCACATGGAAAATCTCTGAATCGAACACTTTAGAAGAACAAAAACAGTTTTATTTGGCCAATATTAATTGCATAGCTCGTAAGACTTATCTCAGTAACACAGGAAGAAATTATTCCAAAAACATAAAAGATACAACATAATAGAGATATTTCAATGCCACTTGATTAAATTATTTCAGTAACACAGAACGAAATTATTCCAAAAATGAGAACATTCCAATGCCAAATGCTAATGAAAAATTGTTGTAATTTTATTTGACTTATTTTCTTGTTAAATTGGACATAATTATATGTGCAGTTGTCTATATAACGTTATGTTATATATTATAGTAACTTAAATCAGGAATACATTTGATTTGTCTCTTAATACGTTCTTTTCCGATGACATTCGGAGGAGTTAAAATATAATTAGTTATATTTGCTCTATGCATAGTTTTTAGCAACTGATCAATGTCGGTATGTAACATAAAATTATGACATCAATAAATGAATGAAACGTGCACACTATTTTACCCTTATAAAATAGTGTTTGGTTAGTTTACCCAAAAAAAAAAAAAAATTGTGTTTGGTTTTGTTGGATAATATAATATAATTGGACAACTAAGCAGTTGCCAATTAAAAATAGCCGTACAAGTGGAGGAAATTAAATCAGGTATATCTCTCTCATGATGTTCTGAACAAATCTAGTTTTATTTGTTAAAGGGTCAAGATTCCATAATAATCTCTTTTTCTCTGGAAATGAAAAATAAAATAAAATGGGACCATCATCAGATTTGATGCACACTAATTTGAAGGGAAATGTGGTAACTTTTTGGTTTTGGTGCATCATGTTCATGTGTATCTATTTACTGTTCCTAAGGCTAAACTGGGAGTGAATTCCGTGTAATTAAATGCCCCATCGGTCAAAATTACCCTGTAATGTGTGCATTAACCGTGTCCCCATATGAACCTACTAATAGTTATCTCATAGCCACCGTGCATCTCTCTCTCTCTCTGTCATTGTTTATGGCAGTCAATGCCGTGTAATATAACACCTCTGAATTGAGGTGTAAATAGAACATCAAATTCCTGATGGTTGTTGAATTTAAGGGAAAATAAATCATAATTCATTTTGATTAGAAAAGTTAAAACGTAAATTGGATATCGGTAGCCATAGCGGGGTGGAAAGGTAAAAAAGAGAGAAGGATTGGGCAGTGGCAGACAGTGAGTTCGGAAGGGAATAATAAGATGAAGGAAAAGTTAGTCCCTTTCGATGCTTATAATGTAGGAATGATCATGGGATTAAACTAGAGTGAAAAATAAAAAAGAAAAAGACTTTTCCTTTTGGAGCGGCTAATTATGTTAAAGTCATTTGGAGGACCACTCCATCAACCACCTTTGGTCCAAAATTCTCACGTTTAGGTGTAGTGGCACAGGTTGTTACAATCTGCAGACTCAAGTTATCTTCATCCAAAGATTAATCTCAGGACCTCATCCAACTCTGCGCACGATTGTTTTTCCTTTTTTTTTTTTGTTCTTTTAGTTTCCTATGTGTATGAGGTCTATAATATTATAGACTTCACTAGTTGTATTCTGACATCCTTTTGTTTTTATGTGTTTTTTTTTTAGAACGAAATGCTTTATACAACAACTAATTGATTTATAGGTTTTATTTTTCTTATGTTGCATGATACAAGTTGTCTCATGTAACACATAAAAAATAAATGAGACCCACTAACAATGAAGAGAGAGAAAATAAAAAAGTAGATCCCACCTAATTTTTGTGTGTTGCAATTGATTTATATAACAAAAATTATTTTCATAGGATTTGGTTAATTAGTCAATTACATTTAATTCTTATGGTATAAAAACATCCAATTGGCATCATGTCATGCATCTCTTGTGTTAATATATCTCTCTACTTGTTTTTCAAAAGAGACATTGACTGAATGAATGCTTAAAAAAGAATTAGAATATAAATAAGAAGATAAAAGGACTTCAAAAACAGCTAAAGCATAATAATTGACTTCGTCTGTTGTTAGAACTCAGAATTATTAAGCTGGGCTAGCGTAAGCAAGCATGTGCATAACCAAATACTTTAAAAGGGTTGTTAGCTGTAGTAGAATTCATCAAATTAAATTAAAGTGTTTGTTTTTCTCATGTTGCATGAGAAAATAAATTCTTCCTACACATACCATAAAAATGTGTGCCACTCATTTTTTTTATTTTTAGTTTTTTTTTTTTAAATTGATAGATCTAACACTTAATATATCTATAACATGAAATTAGAATTCTTCTACCTTATTTTTGGCAGGGTCCAAAATTAGAAAAGCAAACCCGGCAAGCTAGGATGACAATACGGTACAAGTACATGGAAATTTACTTATGTATTCTATTGATATGACAGGTGCATGTTCGTCATAAATGATCGTTGACCGAAACAGGTAAAAGCTAAAATGTAAAAGGAAACAACGCAATAAAAGGGAAAGGTTATGAGATCAAATTTACCACAGAAAAAAGATGGGTGAATCAATCAATATACATCCAGTGAGTTCCTCGATTTACATAAAATCTTTAAAATTGTTCCTTTTGGTTCAAAAGGACAATATGAGAGACCAATTAGAAATTTGTTTCTCTGAAATTGAAAATGACATAACATAATAATTCTCATTTATTTATGTAAGTGCTGATGGCCTGGGGTTTTCCTGTATAGATCTACGTCCACAATGCGTAAAAAAATTTAGATTCTCCTAGAAGAAATATTTCAATCCGATTATTTTTATATTCCTTTTTAAAGCTTCTTGATCCATACTTTCGCATGATCTATAAACTAGCTGGATGATTATTTTCTTTCTTCTCTGTATATAAATTTACACGAAAATTAACTTATGCGCATTTATTTGTCTACTAAGGGTTCTAAATGTAAATACGTCCTAAATCAGTAATTCCATCAATTTGCCTAGAAAATGAATTATATTCTTAAAAAAATAAAATTTATTAATGTCACATGGTGTTCGGTTGTGGCTGCTCATATCTCAATTAATTCACTTTACCAATGCAATCAAAGACAAATTACTTTTTAACCACAAAAAGAAGACAAAATATTTGTACTAAAATTTTAAAATTCAGAACATATTCTTAATTTACAGATAGAATATACTAACAATTAAAAAAAGTATGAATAGTAGTTAAATTAAAAGTAATAGTGAAATTTAAAATGACGCGTATCAAAAAAATAAATGCCATATTCATTTTTCATTTTTTTTTTCTTAAAAATAATTACTTGAGTAATTTAGTACAGTGATAACATCGTAGTGGAGCTTAATACCCCTAAAAAAAATCTCAAAAATCCTCAAGCCAAAATATTCACAATATATTTATCACATTATGAGATTCTGCAATACGAATATTTTTCTGGGTTGTACAAAAAATAGATATTCAATGGATATATGATCGTAGAATGAATATGTAACAAAGGGCAAATTTGACAGGTTTCGTACATAATTTTGAACTTTTGGAAGAAGACCAAGTTTATATATAATTAGATTCCCGTTTAGTTTATGACCAAAAAAGGAAAAAAAATAATTATGTTTAATTCATCAGCATTAGTGAACACGAACAAAATATATAATACTTAGCCCACCGACAATGTAGACATGTAGCCGTTGTAGAAGGATATGAAGAGAGAAATTACATGGTTTCA